AAAAAAAAAAAAAAAAGTGAGGATGCTGAAAATATATAATAATGGTAGAACTCCTTCAAAGAATGTATTTTTTTCTGCCAATCAATTTTTAGTGAATCATGAATTTTTCTTATTTTCTTGTAATGTATATATAATATTGTATTTTTAAAAATGTAATTGGGGCCAGATGTGGTGGCTCATGCCTGTAATCCCAGCACTTTGGGAGGCCAAGGCTGGTGAATCATGAGATCAGGAGTTTGAAACCAGCCTGATCAAAATGGTGACACCCCATCTCTACCAAAAATACAAAACTTAGCCGGGAGTGGTGGCATGCTCCTGTAATCCCAGCTACTCAGGAGGCTGAAGCAGGAGAATCGCTTGAATCCCGGAGGGGGAGGTTTCGGTGAGCCAAGATCATGCCACTGCACTTCAGCCTGGCAACAGAACGAGACTCCATCTCAAATAATAATAATAAATAAAATGTAATTGGAGGGCAAAAAACTTTTTCAACTAGCCACTCTGAGCCTTTATGACTGTTTTAGGGTATCCATCTCATTGTAGATGTGTGCCATAATAACTGAAACTCTCTCTGATAGTTTATCCTTAGACAATATGAAAGTAGATAAAGTACTCTGAAAAACTTCAGGAAGTGCACACTGTCAGGTGAGATTGCTATCATTATATAATCATCTTAAGACACATGATTTTCTGAGAAAACTTTCCATTGTTTTGATTTGTTTTTCCTTGAAGTGAGTATAGCAGTTTGGTGGCTGCCACCACATGCTTTCTGTGTGCCCCATCAAACTCCTTAATATTAGATACACAGACACACTTTCCTTTCTTGGAGGGTGAGGGTCTTATTTACATGCAGACTGTCATCGTGAGGGATCACAAAGCAGTTACAGTTCCCTCCAAGGAACGCCTAATGCTGGATGGTCAGGAGGGAGGTGAGGAGTCGTCTTTTTACCTTTTTGTACCTTTTGAATTTTGAACCATAAAATAATGCCTATTTTTAAAATAATAGAAAATTTTTAAAATTATGGGAAATAGCTTTAAGTTGAAAAATATGCAAGATTTTCATACCTAATGGTGAGATTTTTAAATATGACAAAGTTGATATTTTGTAATGACATGGAATAGTTTTAGAATTGAACATTTGTAATTTTCACAAGTCTTTACTTATCCTGTTCCAAATCTACAAGGTATTTAAAACATAAAAATGTATATGATCCAATTTTACTTTTTATTATTTGAATATTCTTTGATTTTATAATTTTATATAGAAGAGATTCATTTAATTCAAGTGATTATATAACACATCATACATCCTTTACAAAGCATAAAAAATCCTCATTTATCTGTCTGACTTCCAGCACCTTAGTCATCTTTATCAGCTAAGAGCCAGAAATAAGGAAATGTAGCTGCAAGTAAAGGAACCAAACTCACTGCCGTACTGTTACCATGAGACCTGGTAGACAAATCGCAGGTCTGGAATCGCCGCATTCCAGAATGGAGGATACAGCAACCTTGTACATCTCAGTATAAACCTATTCCCATCTCCTTCCACTGCCAGAACTGACACACACAACTCTTGAGTGTTAAACAAGAGTCTCATGTTTACTAGGCAGGAAATTTTAAAGTACTTAGTATATTTCAGAATGATATCTCTGAATTGTCAAAATTAGTTTTGCTGTTTAATAATAAGTTTAGTTATTGAAGAAGATTTACCTCAAAACTGTTTGAGAATACTAGATTTTTAAAAATAATGCTATATTATAGAGCAATTATGATTTCATTTTTAAACAAAGGTAAATTCCAAGTTTCTTGTGAGGTAAAAGTTTCTTGTACCTTCCAACTAAACGTTATGAAGTGAATTAATAATATAAAAGTATCGTCCTTCATAAAATTTGAGTAAGACAAAACAAGCTAGATCCTGACCATTTTGTTAAAATGAATACTAATTTTCAGTGGAATAGTCTTTTTGTAAAATAGTTGTGTACCATTTTATATATTTTCTCTAATAGTGATATCCCTAGGCTATCCTAAGGCTGTCCTAGTCTGCTTGGGTTGACATATGAAATACCATAGACTGGGTGACTTGCACAACAGAAATTTATTTTCTCACAGTTTTGGAGGCTGGAAGTCTGAGATCAGGGTGCCAGCACGGTTGAGTTCTGGGTGAGGGCACTCTTTGTGGCTTGCTGACAGCCACCTTCTCACTGTGTGTTCAACCGGCCTCAGTGCATGTGGTGCCTGGAATGAGAGCATGCACACACCCTTGCACAAGCTCTCTGGTGTCTCTTCTCATAAGGACACTAATCCCAACATGGGGTCCCACCTTCATGACCTCTTCTAACTCTGATTACCTCGCAGTGGCCCCGCCTCCAAATACCATTGCACTGGGGCTTACAGAATCAACGTATGAATTTGGGAGGGGAGAGCACCACAAGTGTTCAGTCCATAACAGGTTGCATAAAATATTTTAGAACTCTGAAATCATTTGGAGTATTATTTCTGGAATAACAAAACTGAACTAGTTAGTCATCAACCACAGACAAAACGAAAGTCTGGACCCTAATTCAAAAAAAATTACAAAAGGAATTAGAATTGTCTTTTTGAACTTGTGTTATAACCTGCAAATATTGCTGCTCTTGGATTCTGTATGTAACTTAGAACAGAAAGTATTTTGTTGACTGAATTGTTAGGGTTGCTGGTTGATCTCAGATTGTCCTCCTAACTCTCCTTTGATGTCTGTTTCCTTTCTCAAAGCAGGAGCAACCATCAGGGTAACAGGTACCTGACTATTTATCAATCTTACATGTGTTTTCATCCGTCTCAACACATTAGATGTATAAATTGCTCCTTCATACATCTAAAGTTTCACCCATTTTTAAAACCACCTGTCCACATTAATAAATTTTATCATACCATAAAACCTGCTTTTTCTTTTTCTTAGTGTTTTGGATTTAGGAACCATTTAGTTGTTCTTGCTAATGCTTTACCACTTTTTGCTTCATTTTTTTAATGAAAATTAACAAAACTAAAAAGTGTTAACGCCAAGAAAGTAAGATTTAGGTATATGAAAGCCCATTGGCAAAACCAGATTGGTTCTTGGTTTTAACAATGGCATTTATATAATTACATAAACACAAACTTCAGTATATATATATTTTTTTTTAGGAAAAACTATTTGGGGGAAATATTTTTTAAACAGTTTTAGTAGCAAGATTGTTATTGGCAAGGAAGAATTGATGGTTTATAAAGATGAAAGTAACATTATAACAAGATTATTTAAAGGTCCTTCCAACACCCTTCTCTGTAAAAATAGCACCAGTTTTAATATTGTCATCACACATCCTGCTTAGATTACAAATTAATTCTAATGTTATGAATGGCGATGTGGCTGTCATTGTAATTTCAAGTCTGATTGGGGAAAATGATCCTGATTCTGTCAAATTAACTTATTTTGAAATAAAAATTTTCTTATATATGAAAATAAAGATATTTAAATGTATAGCATTTATGCAGCAGGTGGCTTCTATTCTAAGCTGGCAGAGCACAAAATTCTCCTTTCCTATAATGTCTGTATTGTGGACAGTTCTATCTGCCATAGGAGAATTTTGACTCAGATACAAATATTTCCATTTTATAATAACTATAAATAGTCCAAAGATTTTCGGTAATATAGAGTTAATTTTATAATATCTACATAAATTTCCTTTTAAGAACATTTCCATATATAGGTCTACTTACCTAAGACATTTAGAATACAGCTTAAAGTCTGTGACATGTTTTGTCTTTAATTTTGTACAAATATATCATAATAAGTTTGAAGAAAAATATACTTTCTCAACCAGTTATAAAGCATTTTCTAGGAGAGTTGAATAAAAGAGATACTTGAAAGTTACTCACTGATGAAGTCATCCAAACCGTTTCCTTCTACAGGTGGACGGCCTTCCTACTCTCAAGCAGTAACTAAGTGTTTCATATTGTGCAATTACATCGCATTGGGACTGCTGCTCTTTTTTTCCGATATATTTCATGAAAGTATAGTTACTTTGCTTTAACAGCTATCCAGATTCCTTTTGGGCAGTGCTCATTTTATTACTTTGCCAGTCTTGAACTGAAATTTTTTTTGTCCTGTCCTATCCAACCCTGAAGTTTTCTTGAGTTAGCCTAAGTGTTCATTAAGTATATAATTCTTAAAACCCTAGTTTAAAACACTTACCCCTATTATATACTTAATGGACATTCAACCCTAGTTTTAAAAATTGTATCATTTTTTTTTTGAAAATTAATGATGAATGCCTGATGAGCTAATTTGTTCATGAGGCCAGAATCATAGTTCTTTCCCTTCATCCGATCAGTTGGCTGTGTTCAGTCCCTTGGCTATGCTCCACTCCAGCCAGCTTCTTTATGGACTAGGGACCAAGAATTTAGGGCAAGAGTGCAAACTTGTGGTGGCCGTGAAGGAATTCCAAGCACTCTTCCTATGATAACAGTTCACAGCCAGCTCTGTCACACAGAAAGGACCAGGCACTACTCTAGGCACTTCTTTACTGTGGTTTTAGACATGTACCAGTAAAAAAAAAAAAAAAAAAGAAAATGGGATTTTTTTTTTCTTCTGGTTTTAAGCAATGGTTGTATTTGGTCACTAATAGGATATGTTTTGGAACATTTTTACAAGACAGGAGGGTGAATTTTTTTATGGAAAGTTGCCACATTACTCAGTTTTTTTTTTTTTTATTTTGTTTTGTTTTTTGAGACAGAGTTTTGCTGTTTTTGCCCAGGCTGGAGTGCAGTGGCATAATCTCAGCTCACTGCAACCTCTGCCTCCCAGGTTCAAGCGATTCTTCTGCCTCAACCTTGGATGATAGGCGCATGCCACCATGCCCAGCTAATTTTTTGTATATTTAGTAGAGACAGGGTTTCATCATGTTGGCCAGGCTGGTCTCGAACTCCTGACCTCAGGTGATCCAACCACCTCAGCCTCCCAAAGTGCAGGGATTACAGGCATGAGCCCCTGTGCCCTGCCTCACATTACTCAGGTTATTCCACAAAGGAGAGCTTACATGAAAAGTCAACTGTGCTGGGTGCGATGGCTCACATCTGTAATCCTAGCACTTTGGGAGACTGAGGCAGGTAGATTCCTGAGCTCAGGAGTTCGAGACCAGCCTGGGCAACATGGTGAAACCCCGTCTCTACTAAAATACAAAAAGTTAGCTGGGTGTGGTGGCACATACCTGTAGTGCCAGACACTCAGAAGGCTGAGGCACAAGAATCACTTGAACCCGGGAGGTGGAGCTTGCAGCGAGCCAAAATTGTGCCATTACTCTCTGGCCTGGGTGACAGCATGAGACGCGGTCTCCAAAAAAAAAAAAGGCAAAGAACTCTCAAAATTTATTTTGCCAAGTAGAAGAGGGAAAGATGCAGTCTTCATCTTATGAATAAAATATGCTAATAGAATTAATTTTATCTATAAAATTGAATTTCCATGGTAACATTAATTTGAAATAAAAACATACTTAAAAGAACAATGAAACCACATCGTCATCATAGATAGGTGTTGGAAGTTTATAGATTTAGCGTAAGTTCTAAGTATGGATTTAAATTCATGCTGAAATGTGATAGAACTGGGCATGAACAAATTTGTTAATTCTGTACAATTCTCCTTACCATTTTGAAACCTTGCATGAATGAAATAAGCTGTATCTGATTTTGAGGGATTTAAAAAATGGATTTAATTAGAAAGGATTTATTTAGAAAGAAGTTTTTAAAGATTTTAGCTGTTTCATCTTATTTAAACCACTGGAGTGACAAACTACACAAAGCTACTTTTTAGTTTCTAAATTTACTACTTGCCCCTAAAATGGGAAGAATTAACTCAGACAGGAAGACTAGGGGGTGTTAAGAGTAAATATAAACTGATTTTTCAGTGCTTTCTTTCTTTTGCAGGTAAAAACAAATGGAATCTCTGGTGTCACACGAGAATCACCATTAAAGATTGACCCATTTGAAGATCTGTCATTTAATCTGCTTGCTGTATCAAAGGCTCAGCTATCTGTTCAAACGTCACCTGTTCCAACCCCAGATCCACAGAGGTTGATACAGTTGCCTTCTGCAACACAAAGTAATGTTAATACTTTGAGTTCTGTACATTGCATGCCAACAATGCCTCCAATTCCAGCTCGGAGTCAATCCCAGGAAAATATGCGAAGTTCTCCAAATCCATTTATTACTGGCTTGATCAGGACAAATCCTTTCAGTGACAGTACTGCTGCTCCTGGAAACCCATTTAGAGCCGAATCTCAAGAATCAGAGGCAACTTCATGGTTCTGCAAAGAAGAGCCCGTTACTATCAGTCCTTTCCCTTCTCTTCAGCCTCTTGGTCATAACAAAAGCAAGGCTTCATCTTCACTTGATAGGTTTATGGACAGTTTGGATCTACAGGGCCAGTCTACATTAAAAATTAGCAACCCAAAAGGATGGGTAACCTTCGAGGAAGAAGAGGACTTTGGTGTGAAAGGGAAGTCAAAGTCAGCTTGTTCAGACTTACTGGGTAATCAGCCAAGTTCATTTTCTGGCTCCAACCTGACATTGAATGATGACTGGAATAAAGGTACAAATGTCTCTTTTTGTGTGTTGTCATCAAGAAGACCTCCTCCACCTCCTGTCCCTCTGCTCCCACCCGGCACCAGCCCTCCTGTAGATCCTTTCACTACCTTGGCCTCCAAGGCATCACCCACACTGGACTTCACAGAAAGATAACACCATACGATGGAAGACAGTGGGTATTTGCTTTTGGCGGGGTAGAGCCAAGAGAATTGGGCATTAGTATTTCATTATGTGCAATAAGTCATTGTTAAGTGCACTGATATCTTCACAAAACACCACTATTTGATGTGTACAGAGTTGGAATATGTGTATATTGGAAATAAGGAAAAACCCCTTCACATTGTTAACTGGAGTTTTGATGTATTTCTCTTTGGATGAATAGAAGACAGTAGTACCCATAAAAAGTGCTTAAAAGTACTTTAGAAAACAGTCCTTATTCAGAAATTTTTTTGGTCAGTCTTCTGAAGAATCTCAAAAAGCCCACCCAATTTTCAGCTGACATTTCCACCAGCCCTCTCATTCATACTTGTTGACAACTGGTATCTATGAGTATTTACCAAAGAGCTGCCAAGGTTACAGTGAACAGAGTTTTGAAAGGCATTGCTTAAAAAAAAAGTATACATATGTGTACATACATAATACATAGAAACACATGTACTTCTATATACATTTACATATTTTTACAATTCATAGTTTAATTTCTAGGATATAACTTGGACCAAATTATACCTAAAAATTCCAACAAAGTCCCTTTTTCAATATCACATTACCAAAAAGATGGCTGCAAATGTAATTTGGACCTTTCATTATTTTTTTTTTTCAAGACTAGAATAATCTCACCACAGAATCAGAATTTTCTACCATTCCACACCCAACCCCTTCAAATACATACAACCATGTTACTTTCCACTTCAGCACCTTCATATGCTTTTCGCCAGGAGGAGATTCTTGCAGCCGGAAACATCCTATTTTGTGGTCACTGTCAAGTAGACGGATATTCTAGCACTCACAAAAAAGCACTATGGCCTTATGTGGAGGGAAGGTACATACCACCAAGTTCAGTGAGAAATATTAGAGCTAACCGTACTCTCTTCTCTGCCTACGTTCAAGTATACATTGCTCATATCCTTCCCATATTTTCTTTTTGCTGCTTTTGCTCTGGAAATTTTTAGCAGGGAAAGCAGCCATCCCCTGAGTGCTTTGAATTGGGGTTATACCCAGTGTGTGTTATCCCCCGCCCTCTGCCCTTAAGAGGCTACATAACACATCTATGATGCTGCTTTAAGTTTTTAGAGGCTATACCTCAAATTAGCTGTGGATTTCGTCTCCTGCACTGCCAATATGCAACTGATCCTGCTTTTGTTAATTTTATGAAGTATACAGAATTTTTACAGAATGTAGTATTTTGATATCATTAAGTAAACCAATCAGAAAACTCCTGAGCAATAGTTGTTTCTTTGTCAGTTTAAGTTACAATCATCTTTACCCATTAAGACTTACTTATATTAACGTTCCTTTTATATAAAGAGTTGTATATGTCCACCTAAATTCCAGTGTCCACACTTAACCTTTAAAGATGTACATTGAGGGAATATCAAAAAAATAGCATTCATGGCTACAAATGTGTAAAATGTTAAAAGCACAGCAAACTGCACTGCACTTACAACATAAAGCAAATCTATTAGAAAAAAAGCATTTTTCTAAATGCTCAAATGTTATCAAAATACTATATTTATAGAAGTAATCCTCTCTGCTAACAGCCAGGATTTACTGTTAGAAATAACTCTTGTGAGTTTTATATTGTGCTTTTTGGAGGTTCTAATCATTTCAGCAGTAGTGTCTTTTCAAAAGCAGTATTACTATAAGCAGTGTGCTTCAAAATGTGAATTAACTTGTTGAAACTGTGGCTTTAACATCCATGTGACTAGTGCATATGGTATTTGCTCTCCATTAGCAAAATAATTCATTGTTAGGTGAACTTCACTAGTGCAAATTACAGTTCTGTGAGCAATGTTTCCTATTGAATATAAACTATACATATCAGCAGCCCAGCCTTTATCAGGAAAATTATACTTGGCAAGTTGCTGAAAATGCACAAAGTTATGAAAGTTAAAGGTATGCTGCAAA